ACAGGCACTCTGCTGTGCCTTGTATCACAAAATAATTTGAACTTTATATTTTGAGATCTTAGGACAATTTGATGAGTAACAGCAGTACTGATTTTTAAAATTGCTAAACTTGAAAGCTTTTCTGACACTTTCAGTTTATCATTTTATCTAACACTTTTTCAGAAGGATTTACAGAGAATACTTTTCATGCTACACCAAAGCACATTTTGAGGCGCTTACCCTAATAAAAGCCAGGGGCACGTGCCCCTCCCTACCTTTCTGTAAGGCAATAAAGGCTTTAAATGAATTACAGTCTAGGATGCAATTAGTAACAACTATATTGCACCATTTTTTTTGACATTTTTTGGAATGTGTTTATGCTATTGCCATTTCATGGTACTTTTTCATTTATTCAGATAAAATCCTTGCCTCAGAAAAAAAATAAAATAAAATTACAAGTAACAACTTAGAATTAGGCAGAGCAACAGTATATATTGCAAAGGATAAAGTTCACAAGAGCACTTCTCTACCTCTGTCTAGTTTACCAAACATTGGTAAGTACTTTACACAGTGTCAACAGGAGAACTATCTCATGCATACAAAGAACAGAGAATGAATTTGAAAGACAGAATCTTCCAATACTTACCCCAGAGAAGGGTAATTAATACAATAACACAAGTGAAACTGACCATTTAAATGCATATAATTCTCAAATTTTTGTCTTTATGTCCGTACATTTATTGGTCATAAGGTGTTTCCAGAGCCTTTTCAGTCTCTTCTTGCTCAAGGGTATTGGTATTATCCATCTAGAAACCTGGATAACCCAATTTAAGGGGGTTGGAGGTTGAAGTATGCTTTAGTTCCTTTTCCCCCACTTTTTCTTTACCCTGCTTATAAGTAGCATTCCTCTAAAATGGCAAGTAAAACCTCCACATACTACAGCTGTTGCTTTCATGCTAAGCCACCAGAATGATATATTATCTAATATTACTCCTTTAATTACAAAAATCATAAGCCAAAAATGCACACACAGTAAAAACAGACTATGCCACAAATAGCTATTTTTAAATAGCTTGGGGACTGTTTAAGGTGCTTTCTGGACTTAAGTAATTTGCTGAGACTCAATTTGAATGGTACTATAAATAGACTTTCCTTATACAACCTGTATTTATATTTGGCAATAAAAGCAAACTTAAACTGCACAACAATGCTTGATGGCAAAACCAGTAAATTTATTATTTGTGATCCTTGTTTAGCTCTTCCTACTATAGTTTTGATAACTTTGAAGCACTTGGATCATATGTCTCATTAGTCCAACATTCCTGACTTCCAAAAAACTTCTACTATATAACTGAGGTAGCAAAGCATGCTTTTAAACAGTCAGCTTCTATAAGTGCAATACCAAAAAATTAGAGATGGTAGCTGAACACAGTAGGAATATTAGTTCTTTACCACAGGATGTTTAAAAAGATGACCAAATGCACTTAAAATACATAATGTTTTTTTAAACTTGAGACTAGAATTTTTGTAGTTAATTATGAGTATTTCTACCTTCATAAAAGATCCTTAATAATAAAAGCAATGACACACTGTCCAACTGAAGACAGCAAACAAGACTACTCAAGCACCATTTTAGCTGAGCACAAATCGTGTCTGTTAAAAGTGTACTTAGCATATTTTTGGATTTTAACACTGAAAAACCTTCTCATTAATTGACAGACAGACATAAACATGTCAAATATCCATTTATTTACAAAACTGTCACATACAAAATGATTCATTATGCTTTCAGTAGAGGAGATACACTTTGAAGATTTTTATTGGAATGTGTTTCAGGTAAATAAGGACTGTGCACCCAGAAACCTAACTCTCAATTTATTTAATACAATCAATGCAAATGTAAACATAGAAGTCAACATTTAATTGTAAGCACAGTTATGTCTTCAAGTGGAAGACAAAATTCCTAAAACTACAAGCATTTTACTAAAATTCTGATCAACTTCAATGAAAAATATGCACCTACTTTGCAATTTTTTTAAGCAAAACATGTTTTTAAGGAAGCATCTGAATCACCTGAAAATTATCAGACATCACTGAAAAGCAGTAATATTCCATTGCCTCAATTCCTTTTTATTTTACAGAAGATAAAGTGGTGGCAGCCCTTCAGACGGCTTACATAAAATATTCAAATTACACATTGAATATCAACAAGGGAGGTTCATTCTCTCCCTTTCATTCTCAAGGTGTACTGTTAATATGGATATAGTAATGAGAGTGTAGCAACTCTCAATAAAGTCAAATTGAAAAGTTCCTTACTAACCATCTCACTGTTCTGATTTGATTTTGATGCATGGGGTAAAAAACTCAAAATGTGTACTAACAAACTACATTAAATACTTCATAATATACTTTACACTGCAATCTAAAACAGAAAGAAGCTGCATGCATGTTTCTTAAAGCAATGCTATCCCAGTGGTGAAAGACTAAAGAAACAATAGCACATACTGCCACTGCAGTTGAAATAGTTTGGCTATATAGAAGACCCTAGTTATTAACATTCTGAAAAAAAAAAAATAAAAAAAAAAAAATTCCATGGCAAATAAATTAGCAACTTAGAAAAAAAGAACTCTAACAGAATAGTTAGCTCTGTGCAGAAATTTGCTTCAACTCATACTAAAGAGAAAATATTCCTGAATCAGTCATCTTTAATTATATCACACCCCAAGGCCAGGATAAAAGGTCAGAGATAATTGGTAAAATAGTAGTGCTGGACACACATTTTAAAGTGGTATCTTGTGATGAATGCCACCTAACACCATTCTTTACGAAACTCTCATTCTAATATCAGCAAACTTGCAAAAAAAAACCAAACAAGTACATTTTTGGAAGATGAAGTAACAGTTTTTTCTTCTCACCACATTTAAACTACCAGCCACAAATGACACACAAAAAATGAAATCTGTGTAGAAACAGGCAGCAAACAATTTTTCCTCTCAAAGCACTATGATTATGAAGCAAACTTCAAGCTAGAAACTGCTGTGTAAATGTAACTTTCAAAACAACAGCACTTTACTTTTCCCCCACCGTTAGGAATACATGCTGACTACAGAGACAGTGCAGCAAACTTATAAAAAATGTGCAGAAAACTCCTATGTTGTGCACAGTGCACAGACAGCACTGCACCATTTCTGTGTGTTTGCCAATCACAACCAAATGATCCAGCAAGTTCAAAAATACCTCAACTATTTCTTCCCGTAGCTTGTATTTACTTTTTCTTCTTTCCACTGAACTATAGGAGGCACAGAGTTAGCTGCTAAAATCACATGGGATGCAACTCTGCATAACACTTAGAGTCTATTGATGGTACCTATGACAAAACTGTCACTGTCCCTTCAATTTTTTAAGGAGAGAAGTTTGTAAATACGGTCCCTGTTATTTTTTAATTATTTAGGTCACTGCTTAGAGATGTCAAAGCCTGGGACTAACATTTCTTGTCTCTTGTCTAAATTTTTAGCTATCCCCTTAAAACTTTATATAATGGTCTTATGATAAGAGTTACAGTTGTCCAGAGCTTGGAAATGGATTACCTAGATCTCTTCTTCCAGAAATCTCCCCAGAGACAGTCAACCCCTTAAGAGCCACACCCCACTAGAATCTCAACTGATACAACGAAATTTCAAACAGACAGAAGTCAAATGACTATATAAAACAGAAGAGAAATAAAATGAAGTTTCAGTTAGCTCTGTCCACTATTTTTGCAGTAGACCCTGTTTTTGGACCTGGGTTCTGTCATCTTGTTGGCTTTCTCAGCTCTAGCAGATTTTGTGCCATCTCCTCTGGTCCCTGTGAAACTTTTCTTTGTCACCTCTGGGTAACAAATCTTTCCTCAAGCCACAACACAAAGAGACCACCTCTCCCACTGTTATTTCTCAAGCTATAGATAAAAGTATATTTTGATCGAGGAGTTCTGGTGTGAGAGCAGAAACAAGCTCTGAATTAAGAATTATACTGGAAATGTAGCAGAATTTATTTCCTAGTGTGAACAAATTATGTTAACTTATTTTTATTTTTTCCATAAGATTAAGCATATGGCAAATAAAAAAATAGATATATACTGCCTTTGCTAGCTAAATGAAAAAGGGTAGTTGAATTTGCCTTTACTCTTCTGTTCCTCTAAAAAAAATATACAGCCAAAATCAATCTAAGCCTGGACTAATTGAGGATGAAGTAGATATAAATGGTTTACCAATAAAATAAAACAACTCCATTTTGCCAAACCTTTAGCAGCACATACCCAACATAAGCTTTTGATTTTATGCCAAATAATTTTTAGTTCTGTAAACTTTTAAGACTCTATTTTTAACTGTAAGACATTTTAAATGAAAAATTGCAAAATATAATATACTACTATGAGCTTTGATGAAAAGTAAATGCAGCTCACAAACCATATGCAACTGGCATATCATAAGCAGAGAAGCGAATAGAGAAAACAGTGCAGTTGCTTAGTTTTTTCTCAAAACCAAATTTGCAGGAGACAATAATTACTCAGCCAAAACAGCAAATCAGACTCAATTCAGTACAACGTTATTGTGTCACTTGAGAAAGTGAAGCTACTTTAATATAATTTGACTTTTTATGATGACACGCTATAGCTTCCCACCAAACCATCTAAGACAAGTGCTTGAAAAAGTCTACTGGCTGTATGCCCAAACTCTTAGTGCTGTAAGAAGCTACTATTTTTCACAGCGCCACCTATATTATTTATACTTGTCATTTTAAAGATTAAGACAAACATAGTTTGTGCAGCAATGTGTTAAATGCCATTTCAAACACAAGAGGAATTCCTGTCATGTCTTAGAGCCCATCATTATCTGAAGACAGAGCTAACACGTAAAAAAAAATGAGTGATCGCAAAGAGCACACTGAGTTTTTGCAGCAGCTCAGTGAAAACTGTTGGTAGATCTTTGCAAAAAGACTTTTGCCCATTCAGTTCGTAAATAAGTTTTTAAAAAGCATCTTACCCTGTGCTCTTGGTGTTCGTTTCCTACGATCTCTGAATGCTGCTCCTGACTGCAAGGCTTCAAGCAGACTGTCCATCACTCCCGTCTCATCACCCTCTGACAGAATAGGACAAAACCAGTATTAATCTCAGAGCAATTGAAATCAGACTTTAGAAAAGAGGGGAAAAAAAAAAAAAGGGGTTGTCAAGTTTACGTAACACTTCCACATAAGACATACACATTTTCATGTAGCAGATGCTGTCACACTTCAGGTATCAATGTTTAGTTTGCTTATGATGCTCTATTAAACAAAACTTATGCCAATTCAGCTGCTCTTTCAACTTAGAGATTTATCTTGTGCTTTATTAATGACATCTTCAGCATGCAGATAGACAAGAGCTGCTGAATGACTGCTGTTTCACTGTTAAATTCTTTTAAGACTTTTTTGAAGTAGAAACAGGTCATCTCTCTTGGTTTAATCAATGCACATTGAAAATCTGATGAGGTTGACTGGCACAACATTAAATGTTCTACAACTATAGGTTGCCTCCTTTCTTTATGATGTATTAAACCCGTGAAAAAACAGATTATTTAGATGACATGCAAGGATACATATGCCATAAATTACACATGTAACAGTGTAACGTGGATGATCTTAAGGTAGGGGAAGGAAAGAATTAAGAAGATAGACTCAGAAGGTGAAAGTGGCAAAACATTCCTTAAAAACTGAATTTTATTTTTGCTAAATCTTTCTATTGTTTCTGTAATATCCAAGCTAACCTGTAGCCTTTAAACTCCTGGACTTGATTGTGCACTATGCAAATCAGGAAGAACAATTAATTCCTTTTTACAAATATAAATCTTGAACTTGCTTTGCATTTCAGTCTCTTAGCAATAACTGATAACAGCATTTAACAGCATGAAAACTAGAGGCTGAAAACTGCAATGTTACAGAACTACTGATGGATGCCCTTTTTCTGCTCCCATCTGTGTTAAAACTAAAATACAGACTCTGCAGGTAGGTTTACATTTAATTCACATCTCCGAGACTTCAAGTTAATACAAATTTCCCCATCACAGAGTGGGAAGATAATTACTTTATGGAAAAGATTTACATTACCATAAAATACTTCTGACTCACAAAGTGTAGGAGGTTAAATGTACATTCAAGCTTCCAAAGGTTCAAGTTAAAAGCAGCTTATTGATACAAAAGGTATTTGGCCCTGGTTCTCTATTACATTTAGAGTTAAGACAAAATCTAGACCTGACATAAGAGCACACCAATCCTACACCAGTACCTGGTTCAAATTTCTACATTGTGATGATCAGTTTAGCTACTTTGTAAATTTAAATTATACATCAACGTAATTCAAGCCATTATGTATAATATAAAACACATATATAAAGTTCTCTCCAATAGTAGATGGAAGGGAACAGAGCAAGAATAGCAACCAGCAGAACATTCTGAAATATGTTTTAATTACATTCCATTTGAAATTATTAAAAAAATTAAGCTTCTGCGAAATAAATAAATTAGCCTCTCTCGATTCACACTCAAGTATACATGGCAAGAATCTTGTCTAAAGCATATAACAACTATTTTTATTTGTGCTCCTTATCCTACACACGCTTATTCATTGATTTATCCTTGGCTTCATATTAAATTTATTTTCTAAATCCAAGGTCTGTGAATACAATTTCACCAAACTAATACACACCAAGTTGGTCTGAAACATTTAATGAATGTCACTGTAATTGACAGAAATAGTTAATATGTTAGAATATTTTATGCATAGAAAAATTAATTTTATCTTCATTAAAAATTGTGTGAGTTTATTCAAAGGCAAAAATCCTTCAATATTTCATAAATGTTTATGCAGTCTTCCACTTCTTTTCTGCTGAATATGCTACTCTACCTGCTAATTACAGCATCTGCTAAAACCCACTATTTTGGGAATATCAAAACATACAATATAAAGACATGAATTAAGGAAGCTATAGAAAATAGCAGTGAGATTTTTAACTCCAGGTAAAAATTGTGCCAGGTCTGATCTGAACACTGTGTATTAATCAGAGTTGTCAAGTGATTAAGTGGGAACTGGACAAAGAACTGCATTTTCAGTTAGCCTTCATTAAAATTCATAAACGAAATTTAATAGAAATTTCAGCCTTTCCCCACAGTTATTGCTGAGGTACTTCACCTATCTCCTTGATTTGCCTTGTTTTAATACTACCTATAGCAACTTGCAGACACAAGTATGAAACAAAGACAAAACACTATCAGAAGTTTCTAAACTGAGAAACTTATTTCCAAAAGGAATTGTCAGTGGAAATAAAATACATAGTCCTTTTTTTCTTTTATATATCTTTCTTTATACAAAAGGATAGGAGTTTCACCTGGAACAAGTAATTTTCTTCCTCATTCCTTCTGTTCCAAATTGGTCCCAAACATTAAAGGGACAGCAAATGTACACATGCATGTAAAAAAAATACAATTGCAGGCTGTTTCCATCTCATGACTGGCTCTGCAAGCCTTTGATTAGCCTTAGCAAAGACCCAGTTTCACTGTAAGTATTAAACAGAACTCAACAGGCAAATTTTTTTTTAATCATTATTAATTGTGTTAACCAGAAGCCCTGCTAATATTCCATTGCAGGTTTAGTTTAGCACTTGGAGTCTGGTTTGAATTTGGTTAGAAAAGTTCTCTCTCTCATTTATCTGGTCTTCAGCATTTGATACAATGGCTGCTTAATTCATTACTGGAAGGTGCAAAAAAAAGGTCATTAGTAAAATATCTGGCTAAGTAACAACAAAAAGCCATTTATAGCTAGGAAACTTGAACATTTGAGGGGTTATCAGACGAATTTTTCTGAAAATCTGATTAGTGGATGTGCCATAACAACAGTTGACATACAAAGAGGAAATAAAACCATTTTGGAAGATAAGATCAGAACATGCATAAGATTTGGAAACAAATGAAAATAATAGAAATAGAATGGGCATGTGTCACTTCAGCTGCAAGCCAGGATCTCTTCAGTGGGAAATGACCCAAGAGACTCCAATATAAAGAGGTGACCAAAGAAACAATGATGATTACCAATCTCATTTCCAGCAGCAGTGGCACTCAAGCTTGATTACAGCATTCACAGAAGACAAATCACAAGTGGAAAAGCCTTTACAATAACCAGGGGAGTAGATTCTAATAAAAAATGCCTAAGGCAGCACAATTTTTTTAGACTACATAAAGCAGCCCCTGAAAAGAAGTATGACAACTTCTTTCTGTGCTTAGAATCTGTAAAATCCCATGAGACAAAACTCATCCTAACACATAACTTCCCCAAGAGAGGGCTGCATTGGTATGGCAGCAAACAGGAAAACATTTAGGATGAATTAGTGGAAAAGCCTAACAACACATTTTACTGTCCTGTGTTATTTTTTTACATAATTGCTTCTAAATTTTCATACTGGAATCTGAAATGTGTTGAGTCTGTTGTAGCCTACATGGCTCTTGAAGTCATTCTTGCAGTTAAAGGAGCAATGCTGAAACACACGTGGCAGTAATGCTCTGTTTAGGGACTAACCTGAACCATGAATGGAAAATGTGCCTAAGATCAGAGCTCTTTCACAGATTTTGTATAAAGATGGTATTATTTGACTTCTTGGGTTGCCTCTGATTCAGCAGGCATTCTTGTACTCACTTCTGTGGTAGGGGCTAGCTCTGATTTCAACTTCATGGGAGTTCTTAGTTTCTCTCCTCTAAACAGTGATACTTATTTGTCCTGAAAATATGTTCTTATCTGCAAGAAGACAAGTATCAAACTCCACGAAGTCAAGCTCACTTCTTATGAGCTATTTTTAAGAGAATTGTTAAAATAATATTAAACTTCTTTATTGATTTTTTGTTTTTAGTAAAAGTATTGAAATACTTTAGCTTCCCTCCTCCTTATTACAGAACACAAAGAAATAATAGATTTAAGTAAGGTCTTAAAGTGTATTTCAAAAAGTTTTCATCTAAACATTGCCCCCAAATGTCAGCTATATTTCCAATCACTAAATAAATAGTCACAGGTTTCCCAGCTCAAAATGTTCAGTACATACTGGACAAGGCATTCAGAAATCTAACTTTCTGATTTAGGTTGGAAGAACCAGAAACTTGGTGAGACCAATTTAAGTTTCTTTTTATGGCATTTCCTGCACACATTTTACTTTATCCATCAGCATATTATTACCTATTGAAAAGGTACATTCCAACCTGCTAGAAGATAATCTACCTTCTGGCAGATTTTTTCAGGACCCTCATGATAACTGCTTTTTCAGTTTACACTAGAAAGGAGTCTATTTTGATTAGAATAAAAAAACCCCACAACAATAACAACTACTGTTCTTAAATGAAAGATAATCAATGAAGTAGCACCATTAATGGTTGAATGAAACAAAATAGGTTAGGCTTTTAAAGTCCAGGAAAATGGATTTCAGAAACTGCAATTCACTTGAAGCCACTATGAAGTTGACCCCATAATGCATCCAAAACATGATCTACTCCTATCTATTTGGTTTCTTCAGCTAAGGCTCCCAGAGGCCCTGGGAACATGTTCTTGTTTCTGGAGTGTTTTGCTGCCTTCCCTTTTATTTGTCTGCACTGACTAGATGAAGATTATAACATAACCATAAATTTACTGCATTTCCATTTGCCAGTAAAGGTAATCCTCTCATGTACTTTGCAAAACATCTTGTAGTCTTAATATTACAAATACACACATTGTAAGCTACTCTAAGTTAATAAAAAACATAAGTTTTGCACAGCCATTTGGACAGAAGTTTACAGGAGCTTTCCAGGAATTATTTCATAAATGTGGTCACTTACTGAAAGAGTTGGGCCAGACACCAATAGGTCACACATTCTGTCTACCTGCCTGCTTCTCCAAACGCTTTCAAAATTATACTTCTAGTCAGACCTTGCACTACCCTATTTTGCTGTGAACTTAAGTACTTTTCATAAGTCGAATAAACGTCCCCTATAAACTTATTATCATTACTTTTTATTCATAAGTTAGTTTTCAGTGTATTTTGGAAAGTGCATTTTTGTGTTCTCATATATTTGCATGTTATTGATTTGC